CGCACAGCGCAGCATTCGCATGGAATGTGTGTAATTGCATGTAACGGCGCGCGAACCGATCTCCGGAACCATATTTACGGACCATGAAAATTCTGGAAACTACTGCAGTATGCACGCGCTTGCAGCGAGAATAATAACATATCTAGAATATATTTACGTCACGCGATATTGGGTATAAACGTATCATTAGATAAACTAGAGAGAATAATTTATTTAAAAATGGTGCAAGAATATAGAGCCTCATTATTATCGGAAGATATAACAAGTTTTTACTACTTACTCTATTATTACAGTAAAGAAATAAAAAAATAGATTAGAAAAAATTAAAGAATTTATTTAAACCAAAAACATAGTTATAACAAATAACATGTTAAACGTAAGCAAATAAGGTAAAACATGGGTCGAATATGGCCACGTTAAGGTTTGACACTAGAAATAACGTATTTTATAACAATGAAAAGATACAAATAAATATTTATTTGATAACGTATAAACAGACACAAATTTTATTTATATGTAGGAATATATGTATAGATAATTGTTTGTATCGATTTGGGTGTTATTTATTTATATTATGCATGCATATTTACAAAAATATGTATGTAGGTATTTGTTTCAGTTAGTATCCATAACACAAACTCTTCCTAGCGTGGGACGAGATGGCGCTGTGTGAATTTTTCGTAGTAATAATTATTATTATGTTACGGGATACCTCTGCTATAGTACTGTGGAAATGTGGTAATACTTTGTAAAGCAACATAGGTCCTGACGTTTTTTTATCGGACTACTCTAATTATGTTGGCCACAGCTGGCCTGTACAGCTTCACCGGGCGATAGGGGGCGAGTGCAGATGACACTCCAAATCTACGGAAGGAAGTCCTTACGCTCTATAAGTTATAGAGCGTCTGAAAGCCAACTTCAGCCTGACGGATACGACTTTAGCGTGCACTCAACGAATTGCCACAGTAACTAGCATTCAGATTAAAGGATTAATATCCAATTTAACAACCAATGGCTGTAGCAGACTGCACGTTTACTTTCTCGCAGGTTCAATCCTGCACTCAACATTAACAGTTGTAATTTACTTGTAGCTGTTTATTTTTGCTTGTATATATTGAATTAATATTTATTACCCGAGGTAGCTTTCTACTACTTTCATAGAAGTTAATTTAAAGAGTGTCCCTGATTCTAAACACCTTATGTTTTTAGCAGTAGATAGAGTGATTCAAGAGGGAGATTTATACGTATAGAGGGAGATATCCATGTACACGGATAGCTAGTATAAATTAGACTATGATAACACCCTGATTTGCATGCTTGCGTAATTGAACATTACGAATTAAAATAGAATGACAATGTATTCCAAACCTGTTAAAAACTTTAACACTTTAATAATATCTAAAACTCTAAAATCTGTATTCACACGTTTCGAATAAAAAATGTAAAGTTACAACGATTATTTAAAAGAGCAACACGCAAGTTTCTTGCTCGTGTTACTTGTGATGAGCTTTTCGAATGAGCGGTAGATTAAAAGAAGGCTAATTATGACTGAAACAATTGCTTAAATTAAGTTTATTTATTTGAATAAAGGTTTCTCTATTCTATTTTAATAAAAAGGACTATAAAACCATTCAGTTTCAATTGACATTCATCTAAAACACTTTCCACAAGAGTACGCAAAATGAACCTTTACATGTAGCATTTAGTATAATTATACACAGTTTTACTCTGCCGAGAGCTAAAAGTGGTGGGTTTTTAAGGCTTTCTTCAACTATGATTATCTAGGTAGTTGATCGATAAATATAGTATACTCTACAAATTTCCACAGATTAAAAATCGACCTAATATGAGTTTTGTTATCCAGTCTTCTTAAATATGGAACTTTTTTCTTATTTGGTTCTCTAGGTGTACATGGAATTATAGACTATAGTCTGTAGGGGTTAAAGATCTAATTATGCAACGTCGTTGCCCGCTATTTCGATAATTTAGAGTGGCTCATTCAGCAGAACTGTAACTAAATAGGGTGTTGATACATATGAAAAGAAATATAGAATTTATAAAATACAATTTATTTAATTGTGAACTAGCAATACTCAGTTTCGCACGGGTACATAGAGTTGCAGAATGATAATAAAATGATCTCTCAATTTATCACAAACTAAAATATAGCTTTTTTATATAATTTTTTATAGGTGAAAGATTTTTCAAATGATTTCCTATTTTTATATTTATACATTACTAGCTGTACACGCGAATTCGTAGCTTGGAATTTAACTACATTAACTATATTTTTTTTAATTAAAGGTAGCCTAAGTTACTCCTTATTACATCAGCTACCTGCCAATAAAAGTCCCGTCAAAATCGGTCCAGCCATTTCAGAGATTAGCCGGAACTAACAGACAAACATAGTAAAAAATGTTATCTTGGTATATGTACCGTATGTATATTCATATGCATGTAGTAAAAAACGGTTATTTCAATATTACAAACAGACACTCCAATTTTATTTATCTGTATAGATGTAAAGATAAACAAAAAATCTACAGTTAGACAATAGTAGATTTTTTTGCGATACTTAATAAAAAATAATACCTACATATGATAAGTTACTTCCAAGTAAAATCATTAGAACGAAATGTAATCAATCAATGAGAATAAAATTGAAGCAATTTATTCAATTAATTAGCATTGATTTGTAAAAAACAACGCCTATTGAACATAATACTGTTTATCTTTTACCTTCTAAAACTGTGCATACCGCTAAAATGATATCCACGCTTGCAAAATTGCCTCGGACACTTTACGTAAATAACATGTAGAGAAATATGAGACTAAGAAAACCTCAAAGCATGGTTATGCAACATTATTAATGTGTGTTCAACACGCTCTCGACTGGCTACATTTTTGGGACATACAAGTACCGCCATGCGGATGTACTTATGAAGTGAGTATGTAATTGGTAAAGTAATATAATAATAGTACAACGGACGGACATAAAATTTGACGAAACAATCTGGCTACTTGCGTAAACGATTCTAGAATAGTATATACATATAAATAAATTTAAATTGAAGTGTCTGTTTGTATTTCAAATTAACAGCTTTTCACTAAATGCGTATTGAAATAAATACGGTAGTTACATCAAAAATTAATTTAAAAAATTACAGAATTTTAATATTTAAAAAGTCTTAAATCTTTAATTTTTTTTTGTATTAATTTAAATTTTTATAGACTTTGTAAAAATCTAGTTCGGTACCTAAATACTTTACTAATTATAACTAATTATATTTGCAAAATCTTAATATGAAATATTTACAAGTAAAAACTAATTTATATAACTCACTTCCAGCTAGCTATATTATAATTGATATTTCCAAAAAGTCCTAAAATAAAATAAAATATATACAAGTAACAACAAATCTATGTATCTCTCTTTAAGATAGACCACTTACAGGGTAGACAGAGGATCGAGGGCTATTGGCTTCTATCTTTAAACAATATTCTTATTTCTTCCCATTTTATAACCCATCTCATCAATACACGCCTGTTCTACAGACTCTTGACTCCTCGACACAGCACTCTATCTACTCAACAATGCTTAATTTTGTGTGCTATTATCAATTAAAGATAAACAGATATCCTCGTGTGCCAACTGCAAATATTTACCAGAGCCACCTACCAATAATGGCTTACAATGAACTTGTTCCGTAGAAATCAAGTTAGCTAACTGGTTTTTTTTTTAATACGAGGAAAAATCCTGTTTTATAGATCCAATAATCGCCAATGATCTACAAATATGAGAATGAACAATTGGATAACATGCCAGATTCGATAATGAAATTAATAACTCAATTTTGGACATACATATTATTTTTACATTTTATTATTTGGAGTAATAATAATAAATTTATTTCATTAACCAAGATGTTTTACTTAGTTTTTTTTACATATCAACAATCACATATTCTTATTAATATATTTTCTTAAGCTGGGACTAGAATCTCCTTGTAAACATATTTAAATACTTGTTATAGAGAGAATAATTAAATAATTATGACATTCATTATTAAATTGGTTAAAATTATTAATTTAATAAGTTTAACATCAATTTAAATTTGCTTGCTCTAAATGTAGCTGAATATGGAACTGTGAATTAATTTCTATAAACAATGTAATCTATTCAAAGCAAATAAATAAATAAAAATTAATTGCTCAGAAACAAAATAATATATGCGATTACTTCAAGTACAATATTTAAAAACAAAAGCCTCTTTGGTTACAGAAACCGTTGGAGCAAAATGTAGGAGCGCTGTGCTCATTGAGGTGTCCTTAATAAAATACAAACAAGGAATTAAATAACGTTCTAATAATAATAATACTTGTAAATAAGTTCTAGATTTATGCAACAAACAAAAAAAATTTTTCAAATGCCATAAACAAAGTAACAATAGTATCCAAATACTCGACCTTATACTGTCTATTACTGGGTACAAAGAAGCGTTGTATTCACTATATGCAACACCGGGGTCATAGGTTCAAATCTCACACCTACTCACTTTAGGTCACCTCAATACTCATAGTACTGGACCACTTGTACCTATCTTCTATCTGCTGCAATCATTTAATTTAGTCGAAGTACTACACTACACTACCTATTTTAACTTATACATGAATGCCTATAGAAATCACCTCTCTAAATAAGACGAACGAGTAAATACTTGACACTAACTATTCTGTAAATAAAAAGCGTACTAAGTAAATTCTAATTAGGTATGTACAATATAAACATTAAGTTGAAACTACAATCATATTAATATTTCGTAATATCACGCTTCGAATTTATGTTAACTCAGCAAAAATAGAATCAAATCATTAATGAAAAAACAATTGACAACACACAGTTACCTGCTTATTAAGAAGAAAAAAACAAAAACGTAACCTTCCTATCTATTTTTACGCAATAATAACATAAAAAGAGAATAATGAAAACACATCTTTACCTCGAATTTGGGAGTCCGATCCGTGTCAATGCACCAATATTATACAACACAACACTAACACTCAGTTAAACACAAAAATGTTGATGGATCACTTCGGGAATGGGACGTTTTTCGACGCGTATTTTATGTCGTTGATAGAAATAATTGATATGAGTCGTGCGCTCGAGAAGGCGCGCGCGGTTATACTGGTTCGTTCACAAAACAGACAAACTACAAAGCTGTCCAGTGGTCAAACAGACGCATTCGGACGGCCACAGTTGCATTACAAACGTAGCGTTAGAAAACGTATAAATCGCATAGATACGGTGTATTTGCCAATAAATTAATGCGTGGAGCCATATTATAGTGTTGTAAGAAAGCGTGCACTCGGCAAGATTCATGCAGCGACCATATTTTTTTTTTTATAACACAGGGGACAAACGAGCATGCGGCTCACCTGATGGTAAGTGATTACCGCCGCCCATGAGCACCCGCAACACCAGGGGAATTGCAAGTACGTTGTCGGCCTTTTAAAAAGGAATAAGCTCTTTTCTTGAAGGTTTCAATATCGTATCGGTTCGGAAATACCATTGCTGGAAGGTGATTCCATAATGTGGTTGTGCGAGGCAAAAAGTTTCTAGAAAACCGTACTGTGGAATACCGCCATTCATCCAGATTATCAGGATGGTATTTATTATGGTATATTTGATGCATGGGTCCTTATATAAACAATATGATATCTATAACTGGCATCATTAGTTAATTAATTACCGGCATCTTTACATAGTTTATAACAAAGTCGATTCCGCTATCTGTTCGCTTAGATGTATTACTACGTAACGAATTTTAATGCAGCTTTTAACTATAGATAGAGTGATTCAATAGAAAAGTTTATATGTATAATACATGTACACCCGAGCGAAACCGGGGCGGGTAGCTAGTACTACTAATAAATATTAATATATATTTACTCATATCATACAGCGCTCTCTGAAACAAAAAAAATTAAAAACAATACTAAATTGTTAGAAACTAAACAATTTATAACAATACATACACAAACAAGAAGTCAAACTATTATAAACATTCATATTAATAAATAGTAATTAATGTAGTACGGGAATCGAAGTTGACATCACAGGATAGTAGTGCAGCGTGCTAAATCGTTCGAACATAGAAATTATGGAATTATAAACCCACGACCAGCATTGCAAGAGGCAGGTTAATCCACTAAACCACCATGGACATCCACAATTGTGTAACATAAAAAAAATCAGATGTCCGTCGTGCTGTAGTGTTGTACATTTATATGTTCATAGTCCATTCTACGCCATCTACCACTGTCTACTCTCCTCTACCCAAAAGTGTGTCTGGAAGAGATTGTGTATGCGATAAGACGGCATACTTCATTACTAATTTAATATTATAATATTAAAATTAAATTAGATATATTATAATGTATCTAATTTAATTCTGGTGCAATAGAGTTAATAAATAAATAGACTGTTAACACTTACCATCAAGTGGGCCATCAGTTTGTTTGTCATTCCAAATAAAAAAAACAATAGGTATTTAACAGGGATGTTATTGATATGAAATTTCGGATACGGATAGGTTTCGGATATAGGAATGATTATTATACCGGATACGGATACGGATGCGGATATGAAATTATTTCGGATTATCCGTCAGTTTCGGATAATTTCGGTTAAAATTAATATTTTTTTAAGAAAAATCAAAAGTAAAATACAAGTAGTTAATAAAATGGTTACATAACGTGTCTCAATTAGGCTCCACCCCTATTCGATATTATCCGAAACTTTTATTTCGGATTCGGTTACGGTTATAGATATTTTTTTATATTGGGTATATAAAAAAATATCCGTAACTGATAAGTAAACCATAACCGATAGTTTTGGTTATGGATCTCCCTAACATCTCTGGTATTAAAATAATCTCTATTTAAATAATCTTAATATAAGGACTTTTCTAATACAAGAAAAATGAGCAAAATCTTGTGTTGCTCTTTTAAATAAAAGTAAATACACATTACCAATATTATAAATGCAAAAATTTGTTAGTATAAATGAATAGATGGAATTACAATAGAAAACCATTGAACGGATTTTGATGAAACTTTACAGTAATATAGCTTATACATCAGAAACAAAAGCTGTAAATTGATTAGACAAACCGCGGGCACAGCTAGCAATAAAAATATTGATGAAATAAAATATTACATGACTGATTGGTACCATAGAATATTTTTACCTTTACTGTCGCACTGTAGGTCGGTGACCGTCTCACAATTAGTCAGATGTCAACTTTCATCCCAAATGTAGTCACGCCGTCACGCCCGACGTCGAGACGCTGTATTATTGATGATGTGGCAATTCACATCATGCCTCGGTCGCCAGTTTGAATACGGCGAGATTTAATCCTTCGAGCCGGATCATTTGTACTATTTAATCCTATTTACGACTAATAGCTATTGTAAATGTGAAAGTTAGACTACTTAGACGTTTGTTACTCAACCATATTTTAACGGTTAATGCATTTAACATTATAATAATAAGCTAGATCAATTCATACAGCGCCATCTAGTTTAAAACTAAACAGACCTTGAACTGTTAGTACTATACAGTTGGAAAGAAAATCTAGGAAAGGAGAGTGTTAGCAATGTGGACGGATGACCCGATTTCTAGCAATGTACCATATCAAGTTACTCTCTACGCGGTTCTCCCTGGAAACCATCAACATAAGTTCCTAGTGAATTTTCACGATGGGTTATTTGACCGACACGAGGTCGGTCAGCTCATCTTCTCATCCTCCACGGGTGCCCCGCAAGCATGAACCGTTAGCGCAGAATCCACCATTCCATTAACATTCGTAAAATAACACCCAAAACATTACAATCATCAAGTCAATATAAAACCGAGAACTTTCATACGGAAGTTTCAAAATGTCAATGTTCATTCCATAATAGGAAAACATTTAGATCAAAGAGTTGATAATTTACTTTTTAAAATGCACAAAGCATGCGTGTATATACTAGCACCATCCAGCTGTTTGGTGGTTGTTTTTTAAATACAATGTACTAGCGGTACCCGCGACTTCGTCTGCGTATAATAGTGATCTTGCTCAAATAATGAAAATATATTTAATAATTCTAACCCAATCAAAACTAAATAAAAAAAACTTTCATCGTTCTAGCTTCAAAAATGAGATATTTATATACAGAATTCCATACAACTTAATCAACAGTCTATAAAATAAGTTTCAAGCTTACAGCTTTAAAAATTACGATTTTTCCATACAACCTTGCATCTCGCCTTTAAACCTCTTACAACCCTTTTTTCGCCTTAAAAGTCTCTGTCCTTTCTCAGGGTCTGAAGTGTGTAGCAAAATTTCATTTAAATCGGTTCAGTAGTTTTGGCGTGAAAGCAAATAAAAAAGTTAAAATGAAATAAATTACTGTATGTATGAAGTTGTGCGCTCTGTCAGATGAAATTCATGTTATAAATTAATAAAAAAGGTAATATTAATTAAAACGATAACAGTATAATTATATGTCATTTATTCATAATCACAACTCATTTCACACAGTACAATAGTACCTACCAATATTTAAAAACAAACCAAAACATATATATTTAAAAACAATAAGGGGCCAAACAAATTAAATTCATCACATCACACCAATTTCAATAGTAATTTTAATTCTATGCTAGCACAATTTACAAATTAAAACTTCGCGTTGTAATATTAAAATTGAGATGTAATGTGCTCTAAATCTCATTAAGACTGTACAATAGTACCTACCAATTTTTAAAAATATATATATTTAAAAACAATAAGGGGCCAAACAAATTAAATTCATCACATCACACCAATTTCAATAGTAATTTTAATTTTATGCTAGCACAATTTACAAATTAAAACTTCGCGTTGTAATATTAAAATTGAGATGTAATGTGCTCTAAATCTCATTAAGACTGTACAATAGTACCTACCAATGTTTAAAAACATATATATTTAAAAACAATAAGGGGCCAAACAAATTAAATTCATCACATCACACCAATTTCAATAGTAATTTTAATGTTGGTCATAATTTATAAATTAAAACTTCGTGTTGTAATATTAAAATTGAGATGTCTCTCAATCTCACAAAATCTAAGACGTAGAGGGATCCGACAATTCATAATTTTTTACAACTTTAAAACTCCTCCAGTCCTTTGTCTGTACAATACTATATTTTGTCACGTATGACGTAATTTCTAAATAGCCCCTAAGTCAAAAATTAAAACAGTATTCTTTAATACATATAAATAAAACATGGATATATTACCGCACGAGCGCAGATATAATGATTCTTTTTTTCATTAGTATTCAAATTATTTATTTTCGTCAATAAATACTTAAATAACAATAAACACAGACATTGCTTTGTAATTGTGTATATAATATCATTTTACCCGTCATTCTTATGTCATTTTATAAAAATATAATCTATACATACTGTGAAACAATCCGACTGTATGTATATATATGTCGCGATTATCTCAAAAACGAATCAACGGAATTTCTATTTTCTTCCATGAACAGAGTGATTTCTGAGGCAGTTTTAGGTATATATGTACTTCGTTAAGGTTTTGTACAATTCTAAAATACCCGCGTAGAGCCAGGGCGGGGCACAATAATTACATTTTTTTTTATAAAATCTTATAAAAAATATTTATTTAAATTTGACGTGATCTTTATTTTATTAAAAAAATCAATAGTAGCAACAAACGAAGATATGTGAAGGTAGACGAATAAGTTAAACTTAAAACATTGTATATAATTAGAAAACTTTGACATTCGTAAGCGGCAAAAATGAATAATATATATATATGTATTTATTAATTTTACTAATTTATAAGAAAAACATCGTTACTGTTGCAATAAATAAATAAGTAAAACAGTATATAAAGTAATGAATACTTTTTAATTAATTATTTTAAAAGTTGATTACACAGTTGAAATATATAACTTAAAAATATATATACAAGAAAGCGAGAACGAGATGGTTAATTTAAAAACGTTGGTGTAAAAATGAGAAAGTGATATACGTTCGGATATGCGAATGACTGTTCAACGATAGACTGACGAAACTGTGACGCCCTACTAGCTCGAGTCT